TCCCGGGAGGGAGGACGCGCTCCGCCCCTTTGCCCGCCCCACCGGGAACCGCGATGGCGCCCCGGACGCGGGTCCCCGTGGTAGAATTTTCTGCCTCTGGTCCAGCCATCCACTCAACATCCACACTGCACACAGGCTCCACAGTGCACACACAGCACACACCTCACTCGGAAAGAACAGGGCGCCGGGCTGCCCCATCCTAGGACTCTAGAGAACCCTTCTGGAGACAAGGTGTCCCACCTGCCCTCTAGCACAAGCCCAGGAGGCAGTGCCACACGCGTGTGCACACTCCACACACAAGAGCCAGCCGTGCGCACCTGCCTACACCCACGCCAATACCTCCAGACCCAGAAATCCACTGGAGCCAACTCTGGGAGAACAGCGATTTAGTACGTTAGGGACAGGCAGGAAACATGTGCCGTGGGCTGCAGGAAGGGCTCGGCAGGGGGACTGCCTCGGACTCAGCCCCAGAAGACTGCCGGCCTCTGAAGCAAAAGCAGAGCGGGGTCCAGCCTGCCCTTGCCTCTCAGACCTGGAGTTCTTCCTTCCCGGGAACTCAGGCTCCAGCCCGAGCCCCGGAGGCCCTGGCCAGGGCCACAGCTGCCCTCCTTCAGAGAGTCAGAAACCCACCTCTGCCTCTCCCCCTTCAAGGGACAGGGTCCAGGCCCACTCTGCCCGGGGCTCCAGCTCCAGGGGGCCTGGGCTGAGATCCAGCCCTCTGCTGTCCCAGGGGTCCAGGAGCCTGGGCTGGGCTTCGGGCTCAGACCTCCAACTCCTGGGCCCGGATGGCAGCAGGGTTCTCATAGATGAGGCCTGCCACGTTCTCGTACTCCGCCTCCTTCTGGGCCTTGGTGGCTGACTGCAATTGCTGGAGGTAACGCAGGATGCACTGGTGCAGGAACACGTACTGGGCCTGGGGAGGAGGCGGGGAGTGAGCCCTGCTCCCAGCCCACTGCCGGCCACAGCCCGGAGCCTCACCTCTGTCTGCACCATCAGGGGCCGGCTCTGCCTCATCTTCCGCACGAAGCTGAAGGGCCCCACGAGGCCCTCCCTCTCCAGCTGCCGCAGCAGGACGTCCAAGCCAATGAGGGTGCCCGTGCGGCCCACGCCAGCGCTGGGCAAGGACAAGGCAGGGTCAGGCAGGCTGTGCTCAAGCACCCACAGGTGCTTGGACCACAGGGCCCAGAGGGGCCGCTGAACAGACAGCGATGACCACAGCGTGAGGTCCGGCCTAACCCAGGGCCTCTGGCCACTTAGCTTGCCTGGCTTACAGAAGGGGAAAGCAGGAGCTGGGTTCAAACATAGGAAGATGAGGGAAAAAAGGGGCCTTTCTCTGGCTGAGCTCTTGTAAATCTCTGTAAACCAAGTCACTTTAATTGGCTGACCCAGAGGCATTCTGTACATTTAGGATGCTGTGCAAAACACTTTCATTGCCCCAAAAGGAGATCCTGTACTCATTAAGCAGTTCCGCCTCGCCCTCCTCTCTCCAGCTCTAGAAGTCTCTGTCAGGCTCTGCGGTTTACCAGTTCTCGATATCACATGCTCATGGAATTATGTGGTTTTTGGTCTGTCTGGCTTCTTTCACTGACAATAATGTTTTCAAAGCCCACCCCACCCCCACTTTGAGATAGGGTCTAGCTAAATGGCTAAGGCTGGCCTTGAACTTGTAATCCTCCTGCCTCAGCTTCCCAGAGTGCTTGGATCACAGGTATCTTCTGCCATGCTTGGTGAGGTAATCATCTTAGTTGACTATTCCATAACTGGATTTGGGGGTACAAGGTATCTCCAGAGGATTCACCGGGGCTGGGGCCAGTCCCAGAACACAGTGCAGCAGCATGGTCAGGTGCCACCCTGGGCACCCGGCAGAAACCAAACCCAGCTTGGCCACTTATTGCTGGCCTTGGACCCAAGAACTGAAACTTCCTGGTTTTGTTTCTTGGAGGAAAACCTTTTGTCCTGAGGTGGTGCTGAGCACCAGCAGGACTGCTATGAACGAACACTGGAACCCCAACTCCAGAGGCCGTCACCCTGAGAAACCCCTCTCCTCACTCCTGACCTGAGAAGGCTTCCACATAAACCTCAGGGCGCGGTGGAGCGGGAGGATAAGAGGGAGCCCCAGGGTGGAACTGCTGCTTCCCCAGCTCCTGGCTCCTCATCCTCACCCACATCCTCTGTCCCTTCACCTTCTCATCACTGCCTTCGTCTCTGTGCTCTTGTTCGCCTCCTCCCAGCTCCCTAACCTCCCCTTCCCCAGGGCCAGCATGCCGAGTCCCCAGGGTGGCTCTGGCTGGCCTCACCTGCAGTGCACGATTGGAGGGCCTCCTTCTGCGGTCTGGTCCAGCCACTGCCTCAGCAGCCTCCAGAAAGCCAGCAAGGGGTCTGGGGAGGGCGGCACGCCATGGTCCGGCCAGGCCAGGTAGTGGAACTGTCGCACCGGCAGGGCCTTCTGCTCCTCCACCTGGAAGGAGGGACAGCGTGGGCCCGGAGACCCCGGGCCTCCCTGGGGAGCCAGGTGGGGGCACTCACGTGGAACAGCTGCAGGTCCCGCACTGCCCAGTCCTCTGTCACCTCCTCGTCTACCAGGGCCACCTGCAGGTGCCCGTGGGTGCAGGGCTGGGCGTCCAGAGGCCAGTAGTGCTCACACTTCACCTGGGGAGGACACGGTATCAGGAAGCAGCCTTAGCGAGGGCTCCTGCCCCGGCGCTGGGTGGGACCCTGGGCAGCCAGGCACAGATTCCCACCAGCTGGGAAGAGCCCTCAACTGTGGGGCAGCTCCGCCCCTGCCAGAAGTCCATGTGCTGGAAATGTCACCCCAAACTCCGCTGTTAGTGGCATCTGGAGGGGCGGCCTTTGGGAAGTCACTGGGGTCCGATGAGGTCATAAGGGCCCCATAGTGGCAGCTGCAGCTTTATAAGAACAGGAAAAGCCCTGAGTTTGCAGCTGGCTGTCTCAGGGTGACACCTCCAGCACAGTGTGACACAGATAGCTGTCGTGAGGCCAGCACCTCGATAACAGACTTCTCAGCCTGCAGGATGTGAGCTAAACAAACCTTGCCAGAATTCAGTGACAGTAACAGACCCAGACAATGGCATCCACAGCTTGGAGGGACTGACGGGTCTCCCTGTCCTGGGGAGGGTCCGGCCCATGCCATTGTTCTGGGACCAGGCCCACGCTCACCCGGCCGGACTCCACACAGTTGGTGAGCATCACAATTGTGTGGCTCTGTTGCTCCCACACCAGGCGCCAGAAGTCACCCACGGTCCGCAGCAGGGGGCCCTGGGCTGCGATGAAATCCCGAGGGCTCCAGAGACCCTGGTCGAGGCAGGTGGGCATGTAGGGGTCACGCGATGCGGCCCTCTGGCGCCCGTGTCCCCAGGCTCACAGCTTCCTCCAGCCCGACCCCGACCTTACAGGGATGAAGCTGGCGTTGATGTAGTCAGAGCCGGGCTCGTCACGGAGGGGCTGCAGGGGCACCCGGGACCAGTCGTCTGGGAGGAGCCATGCAGAGGGTGAGGGACAAGCCCGAGACCCAGGCCCAGAAGTCACAGCCACATGTGAGGGCCACGGGGCCATGTGGGGATCTCAGCTGGGGAAGCGGCTGGGAGGAGCTGGGGGGTAGGGGCATGAGTGGGGCATCAGGGGACCTGGGACTCACAAGGCAGCACGTTTCTGTAGCGGTTCTTGGCCTTGTTCTCAGGAGCCAAGGCTGCCTCCTGAGGCTGGCCCTCGCCCTCCCGGCACAGGTGCTGTGGAGAGCAAGGCTGTGGCGAGCTGGCTCTGTCGCCGGAGTGCCCTCAGCATCATCCCTGTTGCACTTGGGGTTCTGCAGCACCCATGGAAGTAGCAGACACCCGCCTACAACCCTGTGGAGTGTCTGACGGTGCTTGGGGGCCGCCGGGGATGAATAAGAGAGCAGGGCGGGGGACCCAGGGAGCCATCAAACACCAAGGTGCGGACAAGGGTGCGTGTGGGGACTGCCACGTGAGCACAGGTGCAGGAAGGACACGCCGGGCCGGGCACCCACCTGGTACTCATCTGCAAAGCCACAGTTGCTGTCCTTCTCATTTCGCTGGACGTGGTCAGCAAAGTCTTTGGCCGTGATGTCCCCTGGGAAGCTGTGTGGGAGAAGGGGAGAGAAAGGATTGCAACCCCCTCAGTCCTGTGCTGTTGGGGTAAAAGGAAAGGTGATTCTGATCCAGCAATGCTACTTTGGGGTATACACCCTAAAGAAGTGAAAGAAGGGTTCAGTGAGGTGCCTGTGCACCTGTGGTCTTCATAGTGTCAGTCACAATAGCCTGAAGTAGAAAGCAACCCAAGCCTTCATCAACAGATAAATGAATGAAGAAAATATGGCCTGTCCACACGGTGGAATATTACTCAGCTATGAAAAGGGAGGAAATTCTGCCACCACTATGCTAAGCGAGCTAGGCTGGTTACCTCACAAAATGATGGACAATTCCACTTACTTGAGGGACTTTCTGGGAGTCAAATTCAAGAACAGAAAGGAAAGTGGTGGATGCCAGGGATAGGGAGATTATTGTGTACTGGACACAGAGTTTGCAAGATGAAGTCCTGTAGATGGATGGCAGTGATGGCTGCATACTGACATACCTAACCCTGCTGAGTGGCAAACTCAAATGGTTCAGGGGCTGGGCTTGAGCTTGTGATCCTTCTGCCTCAGCCTCCTGAACAGCTGGGACTGCAGGCACACGTGCCACGGCATTCGGTCATCATGTAAAAGACGCTGTATCCTCTCCCTCTGCCTTCAGCTTGCAGGCGTGCTGTGCCCCTCCCTGAGCATGCTGCTGCTCCACCCCTCCCTTGGCCTTCTTGGTTCAAACTGGGCTCAGGCCAGAGCCCAGTTGCTTCCCTCCAGAGCGGACAATCATACCCACAGCCCCAGTGCCCTCCTAACTGGGCTCGTAGGCCCTGGTGCCCCTACCCCCTCACCTCACCAGGCACCAGACACCTGAGTCCCCACCACCTCCCCAGCCCGGACACCTGCCTTGTGGTTTGCTCCACAGGAATTGTGCAAAGCCTCTGGCCCATGGCTTCCTCCTTCTGCTTCTTAGAGTTCCTAGAAGGATGTTAGGAGGTGAGGCCGGTACCAAGCCTCTGTGTGCCCACACCCCCTAGGCAGCCAGGCCAGCCCTGAGTATCACCTCTTCTTCAGGAACAGGACCAGCAGGCCCACGAGGATGAGGCACAGGAGGATGCCCACAACCGCTCCAGCGATGACCCCTGGGGAGGAGCGGGCGGCCCTTAGAGCCCAGGCCTGGCTTCCTGGCCTGGCTCCACCCTCACCAGCTCTGTACATCGAGCACTGAGGCCAAGGAGGGACAGGAAGCCCTCTGGATAAAGCCCTGTCTCCTCTGCAGGGCCCCAGGAGTCTGATTTGAATGATCTCAATGGCCACAGTAGCTCCCCCTTCCTCAGCCTGGACAGTGGTTCTTGATCCTTGGTATCAGGGTGGACTGGAGCCTTTGGCCCATCTCTGTCAGCAGTGGAGGCCCTGGCTGCTCAGGGAGGCTGCTTCTCAGCAGGCCCTAGCAGGGCCCTGAGCCTGCACGCAGACGCAGCCTCTCACGGATTCATCCTACACAATGGGATGAGAAGACGTCCTCTCAGGGACCCGGTGGGTGTGAGACAGAGGTTCTCCCAGGCCGTGGAGCCCGGCGAAGCCCACTGTGGAGCTGCCACTTCTCCTGGCTGCAGCCTCCACCCAGCCTCTCCACCCTGGGACAAAAGGCCCTGATTCCTAGGAAGGGATGAATGGGGCAAAGTGAGGTCTACAGCCAAGGGACATGGTCAGAGCCTTCCAAAGCCAAGTTCCAGCCTTCTTCAAGCACCTCTTTGGTAAATGCTATGGCCACATTGAGTCAAAATCTAGCAGTCAAACAGCCAGCGTTACCACATGACCCAGCAATTCTACTCTTGTGTATATGGCCACGAAAAATAAAAACATACGTTCACACAAAAACTTGCACACAAATGTTCATATCAGCATTACTCATAACAGCCCCGAAGTGGCAATGACACCACTAATTTGTTAACCCATGAATGGGTAAATAAAATGCGGTATATCCACACAATAGAATACTACTCTGCAGTAAAAAGGAAGTACTTATTCGTGAACTTAGAGACTACCCAGGGCAGGGGGATGGGAATGGGGAATTCAGGAGTGATGGCAAAAGGGGAGTGAGCTTCCCTTCTGCAGTAATGAGAATCCTCTGAAAGTGACAGTGGTGATGGTGACTGCACAATGCTGCGAATGAACTAAACATCTTGGAATTGTACCAGTAACGTGCGTGGATGCCCAAGTGGAATTAATCCCTGTGTGTGGCAAATGTGTAAAGTGCTGAATGGTATGTCCTACGTATTATGTCTCAGAAAGCTGTCTTAAGGCAAACAGACCCCCAAAGGCCCCCAGAGACTCCCTCGCTCAGGGCTGCCGGTTCCCTGTACACGGCCACCCTGAGCTCTGCTCACCCGCACTCTCCGTGTAGCAGGTCACCGAGGCGGACTGGACCTTCAGCCCACTCCAGATGGTCGTGACAGTGGCTGTGTAGGAGCGGGCAGGCCCAAGGCCCTGCACGAACACTCGGCTCCCGCAGGAAGATCTGTCCTGGGTGACCTGCTGCCCGCCCACCTCCAACTCAAAGGCCTCGTAGCCCCCCGAGGGGCAGGACCAGTTCAGGTAGAGCCCGTAGCCCCCCGAGGCGCTGACACAGGAGGCAATGGTGACAGAGTCTGGAGCTGGGGAAGGGACAGAGGAGTCAGCAGGAGCCCTTACTCCACCAGTCCCTCAGACGCAGGTGCCTCCTTTCCCTCACGTTCTGTCCCCCAAAGGGACAGGAATCCTCTCACAGTAAACCCCAGGACTGTAGGGCTCTGTGTCAAGGCCACTGATGAAGTGCCAGCCCTGTGGCATGATGGGATTTGCAGTCCACCCAGGAGGCCCCACCCCATGGCCTGATGGATTTGTGGTTCACCCAGGAGGCCCAGTTGGCCAGATAGAGGGAGTGGGGGTCTCACCTGTAGACGCATGGAGGCTCTTTGTGGAGCTGGCCACCTTGTGCCTCTCAGCGCACACTCTGAATGTGTAGAGAGTGCCGGGCCTGAGTGACTCCACCACATACCACGTCTCTTCCGTCCTGCACGTCAAGTTGACCCCAACCTCCGGGGGTTGTGCCTCGCTGGCCCACTGGACCCAGTAGGTGTAACGCTGTGAATGAGTATCTACAGGGGCCGCCCAGGTCAGCGAGACTGAGGTGCTGGTCTCATTTGTGTTCTGAAGTTGTGTGACGGCGTTGGGAGCTGAGGAGGGAAGGCAGAGCACAAGGGCGATGTCCTCAGGGGACCTCCTCCTGGCAGCAAAGCCAGGTGGCCTGGTTACCCAGGCTCTGGCAGGTGAGGAGAAGCCACAAAGAACCTAGAAACTCAAGGCCTGGTGGGGACCAGGGTCTCTGAGCTCTCTCTGGCCCTGGGTCTCACCATCAGCTTCTGTTCTCTCCAAAAGGGCACGGTCCCTCCATCTGCAGCCCTGGGAGCCTTGACCTCTGTATCCTTGCAGCTTGTGAGGGTCTGAGACCTGGGCATCATGGGATTTGTAGTCCATTCACCTACTGGCCCACAGAGCTCGCCCTCTCTAATCACCTCTCCCATGCCTTTTCCTAGATGCAACAAGTTGCTAGAGCAGCTGCCAGTCTCCGTTTCCTTAGCCAAGAAGGCCAAAGATGAAAGATGGACAGGTCCTGTGCATCTCTGGAGTCATTTTGATTGTGCTTGTACCTGCAACCCCCGTGTGTGGGCTATGAGGCGAGGCCTTGGGGTTCCTCTAACTCAGCAGAGCCAGCTGCTGACCACAGGCCCTCTGGTGAATCCGTTAGTCCCTGGCAGGTGGTAGTGGCTCTCCTGACCCCAAATGGCACATTTCCCAAGGGCAGAAGGGACTGCCCCATGGTTTTGAAATCCCTGCCTGCTAAAGAACTCCCAGGAGCAGGACATAGGAGTCCAAACTTCACTGAGGATTGGCAGGGCCACCAAGCGCACCAGGCCCAGCACTCTGTACACATTCACAGGATCCACAGGAATCTCCACAAGTCCTCCTGTTCTTTCCCTTCCCCCACCCAGTCGGGCTGTGACCAGAATGGGACTGTGGTGTGGTCCAGTACTGTGCTGACTGGGTTCCTCTCCACCCACCCCCCAGCACCTCCAGCGAGAGACTCTGGTGTTTACAGTGCTTTGGGTCCCAGTGTCGGTGCCATCCTCCCAGACCCATGAGACTCAGTGGGTGTGGAGGGGTGACTGGGCCCAGTGGAGCTGTGCAGCCCTGAGTGATGGAGGCTTGGGCTGGTGTTAAGCACTGGTAAAAGCAGCAGGGTCAGGATTTCCAGGACACCATGGTGGGAACCTGCCTTATGCAGCCCAGTTGCCTGAAGCTGATCAGCCACGGAATCTATTGTGGCTGGGGCTCCAGAAGCCATGCCCAGTGGCAGTACAGCCCCGCTCTCATGCCCCAGGTGCGTGTGCGTTGGGAGGAGACTGTCCTGGCTCAGGGCGGAGCAGACTGTGGATTAAACAGCTGGAGTCCAGCTCCACCAGAGGTTCCCTCTGCCAGCACTAACCCTTCACCAAACAGGAAGTGGGCGTTGACCTGTGGGGCCCTAACTTGCTGCCTGGGGCTCAGGATCTCATTCTGAGCTGCCCACATGGAGAATCTACAAACTCTTGGGTTCAACTGCTTGTTGTGTTTCAGGCCTCACTTTTGTCTCCCTCTCCAGCACACCATACCCAATAGGCATCCTAAAGGTCTGAGCCAGTGGGGCAGTGGAGTTGTTGGAGCCTCCAAAGACAGGCTTCTAACTTGCTTCGGGGCTAAAATTAGGAAGAAACCAAAACGAGCAGGGGTGGAGACTGAAGAGGAGCGGTCAAGGGACGCCGTGGTCATCAGCGTTTCCAGTTCCCGTCAGCTGGCGCCCCAGAAGCACAGGGTGTGTGGCCTGTGAACTTCAGCAAGCACCCACATCAATGAGTGGCTGTGGAACGTGAGTTCTCAGTCAGCACGAAAATGGGCCTCAGTGTTTGCAGCCAGCCCTGGGGGTGCAGGGCTGCACACCACCCACTGTGCTTGGGTAGAGCCTGTCTGAATGTCCTTGCCCCCTTGGAATTCACACACAGAGACCTAACTGGCAATGTGATTATAGCAAAAGGTAGAGGCTTTGGGAGGTAATTAGGTCATGAAGTTAAAGCCCTCTTGACTGGAATTACTGCCTTTGAAAAAGACCAGGGATAGATTTTTTAAATGGCAGAACAGAAGTAGTCCTTGCAGGCTAAGGCAGAAGGTTCAAATTCAAGCTTATCTTGGGCAACTTAGTGACAAGACCATGTCTCAGAATGAAAAATAAAAAAGGCTGGGAATGACACAGATCAGTGCAAAGGCCCTGGGTTCAATCCCCACTAACAAAAACAAAAATATCCTATCTGGGTGTGGTGGTGCACACCTGTAATCCCAGCACTCGGGAGGCTGAGGCAAGAGGATCACTATGAGTTCAAGGCCAGCCTGAACTACATAGCAGGACTCTCTCTAAAAAAAAAAAAAAAAAAAAAAAAAAAAAAAATGAGCACGGGTTTTTTTTTCTCAAAAAAAAAAAAAAAAAAAAAAAAAAAAAAAAATCACTGAGACTGGGGATTTAGCTCAGTGGTCCTTTGCCTGTCTCACAAGTGCAAGGTCCCGGAGTTCAATCCCCGGCACAATTAATCAATCAATCAATAAATGGGAGAAACTGGAAGAGCACAAAAGCTCCAGAAATCAAGAAAGGTGACAGGAAAGCTAAAAAGCACACAGAAGAGGCAATGCAAGAGAAAGGTGTGAAGCGCTGTCTCCCCAGGGGGCAGAAGGGACAGAAACGAGGTTGGATTTGAGAAGAAATGCACTGCGGTGCCCCACATAAGGGGCTGGAGCTGGTGGAGCCACCGTGACCTGGGCCCACTGAGCTCGGCAGTACTGGAACAGCCACACTTCACCGTGGCTGGCGGGGACACAGTCCCGGTAGGAGCAGGGTTAGCTGCAGACCCTCTGGGAAGGTCAGCAGGGCGCTTGGGCTGGGAGGGCAGGTGCAGATGGCACCCTGGCCATGAGGCCAACAGCCATCCTGTGTGGTCTCTCGGGCTGGGTCTGAAGTGCCCGGATGAGCCAGGGGAAGCTCAGCTCCAGTCTGACCCCGTCCAGCACGGAGCTAGTGACCTGCTCGCTTTCCCTTCTCTCCAGTTTGTTCAGGGATACACCTCTGCTTAGACATTTGCCCCATCCATGGGCAGGGCATGGGGCCTCCGGAGCAAGCGGGCCCCTCGTCGGCATCTAAATCAGAGGTAGCTCAGGATAGCAGAGATGGTGAGTGCGCAGAAGGAAATAAACACCAATAAAGGGTTCTGCTGTGAACATAGCCCTGAGGGGACACAGGTGTCACTGACCGGCCTCACCCCATGAGAAAGGCGGGACTCAGCATTCACAGAGCACAGCCTGTCAGTGGACAGGAAACACACAGGCCCCGGAAGTGACCCTGTTACCTGGGAATTCCAAGATTACAGATCAGGGAAAGAAACTATCAGCCCAAACACAGTGGCAAGGAGAAAGTTTTTTTCTCATTTACTTTCTACTTGCTTCTTCTTCCTCTTTCTTTTTTTTTGGAACCAGATATTGAACTCCAGTCCTTGTGAGGCAGGTGGCAGAACACTGAGCTCAATCTCGGGCTGTTTCTTCTTTTATCTAATTTTATTTATTTTTTTATTTGGATTTTTAATTTCTCACCCTTTTCTCCTTATCTCATCTTATTTTCCCTTTCTTTTTGTTAAAATTTTTGCATTTTCTTCCACCTTCCCTTTCCCTGACCCTTCTATTTTATATTACTTTATTATTATTGCTTTTACCCTTTCTTAAATTTTAGTCTTTCAGTTTATGCTATATTATTATTGTTCTTTCTTTTCTATTTTTTTTTTTTTTTTTTTTTTTTTTTTTTTTTTTTTTTTTTTTTTTTTTTTTTTGGTACCAGGGATTAAACTCAGGATCTAGGCACTGCAAGGCAGATACAGTGCCACTGAGCTAAATCCCTGGCCCTAGTTGTTGCTTTCAACTGGTTTTTATTGTACTTTAATATCTGGTTTGTCTTGGTGTCATTGTCATACAGTTTGTTTTCTCCACTCTGAGTGGTACTGGAGATCATGGCCTCAAAAGAACGTTGGTCACTAAGACCCTCCTGTAAAAGTGGAAGAGATATCTACCCCAACAGAAACACAAATCACACCATAAAACTACAAGACATATTAAAAAAAAAAAAAGGTAAGCCAAGGATTTAGCTCAGTGGTTCTGCCACCTGCCTCACAAGCACAAGGTCCCAAGTTTGATCGCCGGTACTAAAAATAAAAAATTAAAAAACAAAACAAAACAGGCAACATGGACTGGGGATTTAGCTCAGTAGTGTTGCCACCTGTATCACAAGCTCAAGGTCCCAGAGCCAAAACCAAACCAAAACAAACAAACAAAAAAAACAGGCAACATGTTTCCTCCAAACACCCATAACTCATCAGTAAATGAATGCAAGGACATTGAAATGGTGAAATGCCAGACATAAGAATCAACACCCTGATTTTTAAAATGATCAACGACTTCAAAGAGAATACAACAAATAAAACAGAATAAAAATCTGAATGAATTCAAGAAGACAATACAGGCTATGAAGGACCAATTCCACATAGATAGAAAGATTCTGAAAAAGAACCAAACAAAGGGCCAGGAATTTAGTTCACTGGTGCTGCTATCTGCCTTGCTGGCACAAGGTCCTGAGTTCAATCCCTCCTACGCCCCCCAAAACAAAACAAAACAAAATCAGCTCAACAAGTCAAATAAAAAACCCAGTGGAAGCTGGGCATGGTGGCGCATGCCTGTAATCCCAGCACTCGGAAGGCTGAGGCAGGAGGATTGCTGTGAGTTCGAGACCAACCTGGGCTATATAGTGAGTTCCAGGTCAGTCTCAACTACATAGTGAGGCGCTGTCTCACAAAACCAAAAAAAAATAAACAAAACAAAACAAAACCAAAAAACAGTGGAAAGCTTCACCAATAGACTCAATCAAGTAGAAGACAGAATTTCAGTGACTAAAAATAAGGGTGGTGAATTATTGCTGTCAAGCAGTAACCTCAAAAAATAAATCTTGAACAAATATCCAAGAACTCTAGGACACAATAGACTAAGCATGAAGTTTTGGTATAGAAGAGGGTACTGAGATATTACAGGCATGGAAAATCTATTAAATAAAATA